ACACTGATAAGGCGCAATCAGTTCGTTGACGGTGGGCTTCAGTCTTTCACATAAAAATTCTATAAGACCTTGTAACCTATGCTTAGAATGCTGATCCCACGTAGGGCGGGGTCGCCTTTCTTGTGGATTGGGCAGAGCACACTTATGGTGATTTCTTGTCTTCCAAAAAATGTTGCCCTTCCCGGTGCAAAATGTGTTTGATGTTACACTAAACCCTGTAAAAAGGCATGTTTTTGCTTTCCTGTTCTTGTCTATCTCATAGATTTCACAATATTGTCGTTTTAAACAACCATCTAATTTTCAGGGCAACCATCTCCCCTGACAAAGCTTCACAGAGCAGAGAATGTGCCTTTTTTGTCTTACAAGAGTGCAACATTTTAAGAAACGAACACACAATTTTCTAACCTTTGGCCTTTAATTTAGAATCGAACACGAAAAGAGAAAGGGGCAATCAAAAGGCAAAATTTTTTGATAGAAACGAAATCACCATTAAATTCCAGTCGTCGGGTATGCGTTCATCTGACCATATTCTGCAAAGAGTTGATGCATGCACCTTATCAACTCCAGCAGCTTTATTAGTTTTCAGCCGAGTAATCGCTATTCTTACCTCATCATAGTCAGGCGAGGGGACATCGACTCCATCGTCATCGACTGATGGCTCGGGTTTTTCTTCTCCACTGCTTTCAGTGCTTCTGCCAGTCAATAGGACTTATTACGGCAAATGCGTCTCGCTTCCTTCTTCAGTTCCATATAACGGTCCCACATGGCTCGCGTTGCCCCTATAGACGGCATCTTTTTTCTCTGAAGCTTCTTGACATTCCTCATCGTACCAATTATTCTTTCAGGCTCGCCGAAATCCGACTACTTTTTCGGCGGCAGTATTTAATTTTAGTGGGACCCAAATTTGAACTCCACTGGAAATATCCAACATTGCTTCAATTTAGCTAAACAGCTGATCAAACTGCGATTTCATCTGACACTATCTAAACTGTTTGTTCTGAAATTTGAATTCGATTGCTGTTGATAAAACAATAAAATACATGCATTTTAGCGTCTTTTTATCTACTTCAATAGTGTAATAATCCAAAAAATAAAAAAAAATTGAGTTAAGTACTATCTATTGTGTAAAAATTTCATATCCAAGGCGAATTCATATAAGGTGGTGTTGCTAGAACAGCTGCTTTAATTCGTGTCGGAATTTTCTTTCCCTCTTCCTCCTTGAGCGAAGAATAGCTGAAATTTGGCATCTGTGTACCGAAAGCGAAAAAGAAAATACATGTTAGTTTTTTAATTTTGTACTACCGCTACCACCTTATATCAATTCGCCTTGTTTCATAGCTGTATCGATTACCAGTCGTACATATATCACTAAAACAGAATACATATCATCACTAGACACGAATAAAGGCGCGAGCCCAAAAGTTGACCACGAAAAAAGACGCATCCAAAAAGCTTTAGCGAAGAAAGACTCTTAACATAATTGATCGCGAAGAAAGACGCGTAAACTTATTTTCGCGGTCGACTATATTTGCGGGTGTATAGTCCTTAGCCAGATATATGTAAATCTATGTTTACGCGTCTTTCTTCGCCGAAGTTTTTTTAAGCGTCTTTTATCGTACAAAACACTAGCGCGCCTTTATTCGTGTGTAGTGACGATATGTACTCATTTTTACTATGAGAGTAGTTATATGTACATAAGTTCAAAACATTAAAGCCCAGGCGAATTTTACAAGGTGGTGTTCTAAAATCAGCTGATTTCTTCGCCTTACATGTATTTTGTT